AAAAAAAAGAAAGAAAAAAGGAATATGTACACTCATACACATGCCCTTCTGAAAAACCCTAATGCTTATAAGAAGGTCAAGAATAGGCAACCTGGTATTTAAAGCATATTTGGCATTTAGAAGATTCTCAACTCCACAACCCTAGTGTCTAATATACAGGTAGAGGGGAGGACCCAGAAACGGACACAGTAAAGTAAGAAGCAAACGAAGATATAAATAGTGAAGTCAAGAGAAGAAAGTATGTTATGGGAAAAAAAGAGTGCTTGTGGTGAATGATGCTACAAAGGATAAGGATGATGAAGATAGAAAAATATGCATTAGTTTAAACATGAAAATCATCAGAGACTTTCATGAAAAAATTGTAGTGAAGTAATAGGAGCACAAGGTCGGACTGAGGTGGTGACGGGGTGAAGAAAACATCAGAGAAGAGAAGACAGAATGTGTAGACAATTCTTCCAAGAAATTTGGCTGTAAAGAGAAGCAGAATATTGGGAGAAAAGGCTAGCATTTTTTAAAAAGATAGATTTTTATAGAAATGAGTGAGTATGGATTAATAATTCAGAAGAGAGGGGAGAAGTCAAGTCCTTGAGAAAGTGGAAGAGCAAAGGGGAGAGACATCTCCACCATGGAAGCAGAAAGAAAGATGAAGGAGTGGACTGCAGAGTTATCAGCAAAGATTAAGTTAAACCCAGTGGCTTTTATTTCCTCAGAAAATGTGAGATAGGATAATTGCCTGAGAGTGATAGTCTGCAAGTTTGAGGAGAATGCACTATATGGTCATCTAGGGAATGGGACAGTTGTCTATTTTAGGTGTCCATTTGATACTAGAAATCACTTATTTAAAATATAATCATTCACTTGGGTGTGAAAATTTCTCTAATAACATTCAGGCACTTGGGAGCAAGTATGGAGAAGGTGGATGCTGGATTGATCATGTGTAGGATTTGAGTTCTGCCAGGTTAGTGTAATCGACTGAGAGAGATGCATGGAAGTTGAGGAAACTATAAGAATGATGATAATGAGTGCCTATGGATTCTAAACTGGACAAGTGGTGAGGTAAATGAATTGGAATTCTTGAAGATATCAAAGAATTATAATGGTAAACACAACCTACATAGAAAGCCTAAACATATTCTAAAACCGTTTTCTGGTGCCTACAGCAAAGCCTTTTTGGAGGTGCTTTTTAAATTCATTATCAAAAAATAAGCCCATTGTCCAGCTTCATGTTTAAAAACATACAATTTATAGATTTCCCTTCGTGCTATGTGTGCTGTCTACTTTGATATTCATGTGTCTTCCTTCTTGCTACTATAGATGAAGCAAAGGTTCATTTGCACAATTTGTAGCTTAATTTCTAGTTACTATTGCCTAGTTCTATTGAGATAAAGGGGGTTAGTTTCTTACTCTTATTTTCTGAATGTTTGATATTTAATAGAACAGTTCTATTCTGTGAAGAACCACAGTACTGGTCTGCACTCTGCACTACTGTCAGGGCTGTTCTTGTCTCCTTCATGAATTCCTCTTTCCTTGTGGGGACTACATTTCCCAGAATGAAATGTATCACTTGCAGGCACTCTACCTGTACCTCAGCCCCTGTACTAGTTTTCTGAGTTGACTTATTATCACCCCTTGGTTGAGGAATAAACCCTTGACTCTGAAAGCCCAAGCCGTACATAGCTACTACAAAGTGTCTTTTTGAACCAAATCAGATAAAGCTAATCATATGTAGGTCATCAATTATGTTTTACTATTCTGTTCCATTAGCCTTGAAATTAATAGAAAATTTCCCCAGAATCTGCACTAAATTAGAGTACCAGATTTTGGTTGTGTGAATTGTAATTTTCTATTTCTTTTTCACCCTATATATATTTTACTGTTGAGACTTATTCATTACTACCTACGCCTTTGCCATTATACTGCATTGCATTTATTTAACAACTTTATTGAGGAATAATTCACATACTGTAAAATTCCCCACTTTAAAGAGTATATATAGTTCAGTGTTTGTTGTTATAGTCACAGAGTTGTGCAACTAGCAACACAATCTAATTTTAGAATATTTCACCTTCCTCAAAAGAAACCCTGTATTCATTTGCAGTCACTCCCCAGCCCTTGACAACTGCTGATCAATATACTTTCTGCCTCTATGGATTTACCCATTCTGAACATTTCATGTAAATGAAATCATTCAATATGTGGCCTTTTGCGTCTGGCTTCTTTCATTTAGCATATTTTCAGGTTTCACCCATGTAGCATGTAGCAGTAACTCATTCCTTTTTAGTGCTAAATAATATTCCATTGTATGTATATACTACATTTCGTTTATTCATTCATTAGCTGATAGATGTCTGGGTTGTTTCCAGTTTTTGCTGGTTGTGAATAATGCTGCCGTGAACATTTGTGTGTTAAGTTTTACTGTGGACATATATATTTTTTTGCATTATATTTTCCATTTACATGTTAGCCTTAAATTCTCTTGAGGCTAACTAGTCTAATAATTTAAGTCTAGTTATTTAGGAATTATTTAAAGTGTTCCACAACACCAGAGTAAGCTACTGTTGTTGCTTTACCTTTCATCATCCTTGTGCTGAACTGAGTATGTTAGCCCTGCAACATGTTCACACAGGCAGCTCTAGAGCTCTTTCTTATAAAACAGCTCCTCAATGATTGGTAAACATGAACTCGTGTTACTTTAAAGGATAATTCTAAAGCAATCCTTTCATAATAAAAATATGGAAGTTTTGTATAAATATTGCATCTTAACCTCCTCCATTCTCATTCTGCCATGCCTACTCTCTCTGAGGCACAGGATTTTTTAAAGTTGTTCATGCACCTTCTCACCTAAATTTTCACCTCAAACTAAGAGGCTTTATTGTTTTATTTAGGTCCTCTAAGATTTGTATATTTTGTGTAAGACAAGATAATGATGTGTAAGTCAGTCAGTATTACCTGAAATTGTTTAATACTTTAATAATGATAGCTGCTGCTCTTTGAGCAGCTGTATAGAATGTGTGGATCATTGTGTAAAGTGCTTTACATGCAATATCCTATTTATACTATACCACAACTCCACAAAGTAAGTATCTTTATCCATGTTGTACAGATGCAGTAACTGAATCTTCAAGTTACAATAAGATAATTCACTTACGTAGGAAGAGGTAGAAGCAACATACAAATCCAAGTATATCTAACTTCAAAGCTTCTTCCACTATTATTCCAAAAGCCTTCTAATAACTACATCTTTATTCCTTTGACTTGAGCCAAATAGGAAGTTGGGTCCTTATATAAAAGAATGGATTTTTTCTTTTAGTCCTTTATACTCTTACTATGCATAGTTGGATCAGCCCCTCTCTTAAGAATAAGCCTTCATAATGAATGGAGGAAGAGATAATGAGTTCCGTTACACCAGAAAATGGGCATAAAAGGTACCACGAAAAGGAAAAATGTGCATTTATTTCACTTACATATTCTCAGCATTCAGAATTTAATAAGTCCTATAAGTATTGATTGGTGAATCAACAATGGGAGAATTTCCGAAAACAAATTTTGTTCACTTACAGTGTTGCTTTGCTGGCTCCACCTCTCCTGGAGTGCCTTGGGAGTCAGTAGGGGGCTCCCTTCCTCCCCTTCTCTGTCCTAGCTAAACTTTCTCTCCGGGTTTACTCATCAAGTCCCATCAAGTCCACCTTCTTGATGATAACCCTCATCCTTAGATATCGCCATCCTTGATAACTCTGCTGACCTCAAGACTTTTATATCAATCCACTCACCTACTTTACAAATATAGTTTAATTCCTAATAATCATCTCAAACAAAGAACAGCTAAAACAGAGGTCCTGGTATTTTTTCAGGCCATTTCTTGCCCCAGTCATCCTCATCTCAGTAAATGGCATCACCATTTTCCCAGTTGATACATCCTCCTCTGCACACCCTTCAAGCACTCTATCAGCAAATCCTGTTCACTTTATTTCCATTCCCTTCTCTCCATATCCACAGTTACTCTCTGAATTGAAGCCATGACACCTCTCACTATAGTCACTCAACTAGTATCCCCACTTCTACACTTGCTCTCCTATATAGTCCATGGTCCACAAAGCAACCACAGTGACATTTTAAAATGTCAATTATTATCTCATATCTCTACTTTCCATTTCTATTACTTCTAATCATATTTAAAATTCAGATTCCTTTTCATGACATGCAAAGCTTTACACAGTCTGGCCCCTACTTACTTCTGCCATCACAGTCCTCCCCACTCACTACACTGTAACCAGGCTGGCCATGTTGCTGTGTCTTCCATACACCAACTTCATTTCTGCCTCAGGGCCTTTGCTCTTGCCCTTTAGTCTCCCAAGATTATCTCGTCACTAGGGCCTTTGAATGGCTGGCTTCTTTGTAGCATTTAGGTCCCAGATCATATATCATCTTTTTAGAAAAGCCTTCCCTGACCACGTTTTATTAAATTGTGTTACTTTATCTTCTTTAGGGCATTTATCATTATCTAAAAATACCCTGTATATTTATTTATCTACTTGTTAAATGTCTTTCTCCATCCCTAAACTCCATCCTTACCTAAACGTAAAGAGAGCTTCATAAAACTAATGATTTTGTTATCATGGTTATCATTGTATTTATTGTCTGGCCCATAAGAGGTTATCAATAAACATTTGAGGGAGAATATAATAAATGAATGCATATTGCCTGGGATCTGGCTTAAATGTGTGTGAATATGTCTATATTAATGAATTTACCTGCTGTATCACTCATAAGGCTTATCTTCTATAACCTTATATTGTTCAATTTCTTCCTTAACAGAATATTTTTATTACTTGGAGGGATCTAAAGATGCTCTCCTTTGTGGTTTCAGCACAGACTCAGGGTATGTAATATTTGTTTTTAGTCTATAGGCTACAAAAAAGGGAAAAAACATAATTAGTTTGCTGATAAGGACCTTTGATTCTATATCGTTTTCATATATTTCATGGCATGATTTGACTCATTCTGTTTTATAGAAGGTCCAGACTTTATAATGTTTATAGTTACTACATACCTTTGAAAGCAAGACTTGGAGATGGTGCTCAAATCAAACAAGGTGTACATCATATAAATCTTAAGAAAGTAGAAAAAAACAATTACTTCCAGAAAACCCACCAAAAGTTGGTTAGATAGTTCTTAGCCTTACTTCTTTCTGGAAAGAAGTGACAAAATTAATTTTTCTTTCCATCCTCAAATTTCACTCATTCTCCAATCAAGTATGACTCATGGATGACTGAATGCAGTGATATTTTGGCCACTCTAAACAAAAGTGTCCCATGGACGTGGGTAAAGATAGTGTAAGAATCTCATATTAATGCAAATACCCATCTTGCTGTTTCTTCTTCACACCACTTCATTCTGCTGCAGGACCTTTGGTCTTGTTCTCCCCTGCCCCTTCACTAGGTTCGGTGTGCACAGGGAACACAGAAATAAACAAGATAAGGTTACTGCTCCCACAGATACCTCAGAACACGATGTTTGTTTGGCATCATAGGTACCATGCCACCAATTTTAGAAAGAAAAAAGTCTTAAAGCTGCAAATTTTTATCTACTTACATGATTGCTATATTTTGACATACTTGATTCTGATTCACTCCAAGAATAATTCGGAGAAACAAATTTTTATGAGAGGTCTGTATGTCAATTTTTTATAATATAAGAATGATTTATATGACATCTGGTGACAGTTTCCAAGTTTTGATAGTGACAATGATGATTAGCAGCTACCATTTATTAAATGCTTTATATGTGCACAAACTAGGCTAGGTAATTTGCATACATTATCTTCTTTAAACTTAGTAGCAATCTTAACCTTTTGAGATAGGTGTTATTATCTCGTTTTCACAGAAAGAGAGTGCCAGGACTTGGAATTTAAGTAATTTGACAAAGTCAACAACTTGTCAAACCCAGTTATTCCTGACTCCAAATAATATGTTCTTAATCATTGTTCAATATTATCTCCCTAGAATAGGAACTTTGAGTTTCCCACTTTTTTGTGGTACTATTTAGGTTGCATCCTGAAGATACTCTGACTTGTGATATTCTTTTTCGCTTGTAGTCAGTGTCCAGAAGGGTACACATGTGTGAAAGTAGGCAGAAACCCCGACTATGGCTACACAAGCTTTGACACTTTCAGTTGGGCCTTCTTAGCCTTGTTTCGGCTAATGACCCAGGATTACTGGGAAAATCTTTACCAACAGGTGAGTGCCAAGAGAAGCATTCATTGCATATCTAATGTATGTTCCTTATCAGCTTTATATATGTGGTTTATTCAATTTAGAATGGAGAAAACTCTATTGTCTTATTACTAAAATTAGACATTCTCTATTTCCAGTACTATTAGAATGGATAGTTCTTTAATCATAAATTTTTTCTCATCCTTTCTGGACTTATTTGGTGTCGGACTTCCAGCCTCCAGAACTATGAGAAACATATTTCTGTTGTTTAAGTCACCTGATCTGTAGCATTTTGTTATGGCAGCCCTAGCGAGCTAATAATACAAGATTTAAAGACTCAATTCACTTATTTAAATTTTCTTCTCCCAACTCAGTTGCTCTTTGCTCTAGACTTTCATGCCCTTCGAATATTCTCTAGTTTATACCATCCATCTCTTGTATGGTAATTGTTAATTCTCATGATCATCTCCTCTAACTTGAATGTAGCAACTTACCCCAAGATGAAGGAGACCAAAAATGATTACTCTGTATTAAACTTAACAAGTCACTTTTCTCAAATTGCCACAGATACTTCTTTTGGCCTGTTTTATGTTTACTTAATTATAAGTGAATACAGAAATTATATAAAAATATACTTCACAGGAAAAAAAGAAATACAAATGGCTTTTTAAAGTATTCAAAAAGATGCTCACCTTTACTGCAAATTAAAATGAGTGACAGATTTTTTTTTACCTGTCAGGATGACAAAGATCAAAAAGTAGATGAAAAGAGAGAGTACTGTCTGACTGAGATATGTGGAGGCAGACATTCTCATGCATTGCTGGGAGCTACTAGAGAGAGTAACATGGGAAATGCTATGAAAATTATAATTAATATACCTGTTGACCTAACAATTATACGTACCAAGAAGTTATCCAATAGAAGACATCAGTAACTGATAAAAGAATTGAGTAACTAGGCATCAGAGATAGGAGAAAGAGACTTATTTCTCATTGAATACCTATATCATTTGAATTTTTTATTTATTATATTTTTAAATTTTTAGTGAATGTTAATTTAAAATAAATGTAAGTTTATACAATAAGGTATAAACTTGTCCCTCTTGCGTGAACATAATACATCATCATTAGTACTTCTTGTTAAAGATAGAATTTCATCAGTAAAAGAGACTATAGAAATTATCTGGTCTTATAATTTGCAAATGAGCAAAGCAGCTAGTTTTTGAGTAATTTTCAGACTGGGGAAAACTTTTCAGGATTATTATGCTTAATAATAATTGAGAATCATACTTAATTTTAGTACGAATTTAACAGATTGCTATATCCTTTGTACTGGAAAGGTGTGTATTTTAATACTGACTGTTTTCCATGATGATGTTTTAATCCTTTTACATTTTTATAACATGAAATTTTACAGAACTTCCCAAATCACTCATGCCAAATTGGCCATTCAAGTTGAAAGAATTTACCACAAACAACCTTTGTGTTATTAAAATAATTATTTCCACTCTTCCCTAGACCCTACGTGCTGCTGGGAAAACCTACATGATCTTCTTTGTGGTGGTGATTTTCCTGGGATCCTTTTATCTAATAAACTTGATTCTGGCTGTGGTTGCCATGGCCTATGAAGAACAGAACCAGGCAAACATTGAAGAAGCTAGGCAGAAAGAGTTAGAATTTCAACAGATGCTAGATCGACTTAAAAAAGAACAAGAAGAAGCTGAGGTATTGTTATTTGGTTTAAAATTCTTCCTAGAAGTACAAGGGCAAAAGAGAACAACAAAAGCCCTGTGATCAATGCTAGGACTTCCCCAGGGTGATTTTCTTTAATGGATTCCTTTATATAAACTGAATTCTCATTCTGGTGTGGTCGAAGGAATCGACTCTGGATTGACTTACAATTGGCATCTGACCCATTCCAGCTTCCCCCATAATCTGCTCACTCTGGCACAGAGAATGTTCTAAGCTGTTCTTCCTTAACCTGTTACCCACAATTCCTCAGTGTATATGGCATTATGAAAAGTCCCAAGACATGATGTATTTCTCCAGAACAATTGTACCATAAAGGTTTAGGGAAAATTATTTTAATGTTAAAGTTAACAGATGCTCTATGGGGTAGAAAGCAAAATGTGCATCAATTTTTTTTTTTAATTTTGCAAGGATTTTCAAGATAATATGTGAGATGTTAAAAAACCATACTTACGGTTGTGGCCATTTTAGGCTAGGTCAAAAATTCTTGAGGATCTCCTTAATCTTTTCTTCTAAAGAGTACTTCAGTGGAAAAGTTTGAGGTCTATACTAAGAAAACCAAATTTAAAATATTCAGAATGAGTCTTAAAACTCGTTTGATGTTTTGACCTAGTTAAATCTCTTCAAGGAATCTAAGCTATTAGGGAGAGGGTAGTAACCTCTAACGCATAGAACCTTTGATGCAGAAAGATGTTCAGTGAAGTATCTATAATATTAAAAATCAGAAAGCATTAAAATTTTCGAAAATTAGAAAATGATTAAGAGGATTATGATATTTTTGTAGTTTGGAAGATACAAAACATAATTTTAGCCTCCATAAAATTATATGTTTTAAGAATATTATGATAGGAAAATATCAATATAACAATGTATTAAGTAGTAGGATACAAAATTGAGTATAAGTTATAAACATTTTAAAAATTATATATATATAATAAGACCTGAAGGAATATTAACACCAATTATTTCTAGGCTGTAGGATTATGAATGATTTTTATTTTTTATTGACTATATATTTATTTTCTTAAGTTTTACAGAGATTTATTATTATAAAGGCATAGGTAGCATTAGGTTATCTCGGCAGTTTCCTAGGGAACCCCTAGAAGAATCTTTCATTTTCTTGACATACTATTCTGTAATGATTATTTTTAATATTCAGACAACTTGTTCTTCATTAAACTATAGAGTGCTTTATTCTTTTGATAATATTGAGTTAATTACCTGAACAAGATATACAAATTATCTTATCACATAGTTTAAGTTTTATATTCCAGAAGTACTTAGTAAAGCTTTTACATATATTATTTAAGATTGCTTTACTGTAATATAGTAATAGTATGTAATAGATTAATTTTAAAGCACAATGGGACTTTATTACAAAGCAAGAGAAGCAATAAATATATATTTTGTAAGCTCTCTGGTCATAGTGTAAAGAAAATGACATTACTTCCTGTATAAGGAACATGATTATATAAACAATATAATTAAATTCATGGTACAGAGGTGCCCTATCATCAAACTTTATAAGTGACTCACTGTATGTGTGACCTCTGGGTCCAATAGGCAATAGCGATGGCAGCAGCTGAATATACGAGTATCGGGAGAAGCCGAATTATGGGCCTCTCTGAGAGTTCTTCTGAAACATCCAAACTGAGCTCTAAAAGTGCTAAAGAAAGAAGAAACAGAAGAAAGAAAAAGAACCAAAAGAAGCTCTCCAGTGGAGAAGAAAAGGGAGATGACGAGAAATTGTCCAAATCGGAATCGGAGGAGAGTATCAGGAGAAAAAGTTTCCACCTTGGTGTTGAAGGTCACAGGCGAGCACGTGAAAAAAGATTGTCTACCCCTAATCAGGTACCATTGACTCTATCAAATGTACGTCCCCAGAGGCAGGATTATAGAGCCAGCTGTTTAATTCTGAGGGAAGAGACCTCAGGAGAGGAGAGTGAATGACTTCAGTGGTATGTTTTTGGGTAAAAACCTATCGATTGCTGGGCATTTATGGTAAGAACATGGGTGTATGTAGTTTTCCATTTAAGTTTGTAAGGAACTTATAGTTTTGGAATTGTCATATCTTCTCCAACAAACAGATTTTCAGAACAAAATATTCATGAGAACCATTGTAGAAATGGAGAAATTATTTACACTATACATTAACGTTTACATTTTTATTTAGTCTATTTCATAGGGCCTATATTGATTAAAAATTAACTTTAGGTTAGGTTTTTCTTTTTTCTTTACTACTTTGGTAATGTATCACCCGAACATCACTTACCCGAGCTGAAAAGTTTGGAGACATCTATTGATAGTCTCTACCTGCAACTGCATCATATACTAACATCTAGTCCGATAGTCTGTTATTTCTGCTTATGTAGAATTTCTCTTCCCCGTTCGTTCATTTTCTGCTGAAACCTCCATATTTCAGATCTCTTTACATACATACCTCCAAGAGGAACCATTGCTTCTATTCTCCTTAATACTTCCTTGTTTTCCATCGCACAGCCCCTCCAAATCATTTTTCTAAATCAAAGCTATTCCTCTGCTCAAACTCAAAAAAAAAATCTCCATTGAATAACTGCTGACTAGAGAACAAGACCTACATGTTATCCATGCCATGAACAGCTTCAGTTTCATTTCCCGCCTTTCTACACCTTTGTGTACACTCAGTCCACCATGATTTTTCACTCTCACTTACATGCCCTAACTTTCATGCCTTTGATAATTAGCACACATGGTTTCTCTTAGTGGGATTATTTTCTTTCTTGTTTTTCCTCCTGGCATAGTACCACTCATTCTTCACTCATTTCCTTAGGTGCCACCCATCCCCCAAATTTCCTTTGTCCTCTCCACTGCTCTCCATCAGCGCTTCCATGCCTCACTCACAATTACTATCCTTCTAATCTACATCTTCATTTAGAATTCCTAGCTTCTAATACTTAAGTCTGTAAGAACCTGTCAGATATGCATAGAAATAAAAGAGTCCCTGCCTTTCAAAGATTTCATAATTTTGTTAGTGAGACAGAATTTGAATACCTGCAATAGCAAGAAAAATAAATATGACAAGAGCCGTCCAAGCTAGTTTCAAGGCAAAGATCTTGTTATACTAATTTTTTATCTCTCACTTATACCTGCCACTCTGTCCTTTACATAGTAAGTACTAATGTTTATTGAATTATATATTTCCAAAGACTATGCATTCAGTTTGGTTTATAGCCACAGTTTATCTTAGACAAGAGTCATGTAAGTGTGACCTCTTCCTCTCTTTGATATTGGGCAATTTCTTTTCCAAGTTCTAATATTTTATGACTGTGTAGACCCCCTAGTAGTAAAAGGTCTTTCTTAAGACACCTTAACTGAGCTCTTAGTGTATAAGGTGAAGTTTTAAACAATGGAATGCAAAGAAGCATACAGCTATCAATACCAAATTATTTTTTAAGTGATATGTTCTTTATAGCAAAATGAATGATACAGAAAGAATGGAGAGGCCAGAATAACAGAGAGCTGTACAGCAGAAAATAATGCATTTCTATTTTTAGGTGCTTTAGCAGACACATGTCATCTTTTCTTTTTTCTGCAGTCACCACTTAGCATTCGTGGCTCCTTGTTTCCTCAAAGGCGCAGCAGCAGAGCAAGTCTTTTTAGTTTCAAAGGTCGGGGAAGAGATCTTGGATCTGAGACTGAATTTGCTGACGATGAGCACAGCATTTTTGGAGACAATGAGAGCAGAAGGGGCTCGTTGTTCTTGCCCTACAGACCTCGAGAGCGGCGCAGCAGTAACATCAGTCAGGCCAGTAGGTCCCCCCCAATACTGCCGGTGAACGGGAAGATGCACAGTGCCGTGGACTGCAATGGCGTGGTCTCCCTGGTTGATGGACCCTCAGCCCTCATGCTCCCCAATGGACAGCTTCTACCAGAGGTGATAATAGATAAGGCAACTTCTGATGACAGCGTAAGGACGTTTTAAATAGCTCAGGCATGGCTCGGCCCTTATTCTTGCATCAGTCAATCTTTCTGCTGGAGGGGCCTTCTCTGGTCCTGTGAATGGCTCTGCATTTTGCAATACTCTGTCTGTAGAAACATACCTTTAACTCATTAACTTAATCATTATACATAATTCAAGATAATTTAAAAACCCATTTAAAAAAACTGAAGTATAATTGAGATGTACAAGATGATTTGATATAAAACCCCATGTTTGAAAAAGATACTTATCTATCGATATTTGAAGATTATAAATCATCCCTTTAGAAAACAATTTATAAAAATATACATAAGCACAGAAAGTACTTTGATAACGCTGATCTCATTAGTTGATAATAGGCCCCATTTTTATCAGTAAATTTGGATTATTTGCCAAATTTTGCTATCTTTTTCAAGTCACTATTTAATATATACCTTATTGTGAGGGATCTTATTTGAGTTATTAATAATAATAATAATAATAATAATAGCAAATGTACTTAGTATTTGCAACAGTCCTATGAGGTGATATATTATTATCCCTGTTTTACAAAGGAGACTGAGGCACACAGAGAGATGAAGCTAATAAATGGTAATGCTGAAGTTCAAAAAGAGGTCCTCTGTTTCAGAGTGTGTACTCTTAGAGGGATCTTATTTGAGTTATTAATAATAATAATAATAATAGCAAATGTACTTAGTATTTGCAACAGTCCTATGAGGTGATATATTATTATCCCTGTTTTACAAAGGAGAAACTGAGGCACAGAGAGATGAAGCTAATAAATGGTAATGCTGAAGTTCAAAAAGAGGTCCTCTGTTTCAGAGTGTGTACTCTTAACCACCACAATTTGTCTCTCTCCAATGTATGGTATGCTTCTTGGAAATAATTTAGAATAGCTATATCTTTCCCCATACATAAATGAGATTTACTATTTTTATTAAAAAAAAAATACAAAACTCTTTGGTCTAGAATCTATGACTAAAAAACAATATCAAAACACACATAATGCAAACATACACATGTAAAAACAAAAACAAAGAAACCATTCCAAAACCATAATTTCAAAAGTTTAGGGGTCATTGAGTGGTTAGAGAAAAAGATATGATTAGGCTTGAAAGCAAGATCTTTCTGGATTCTGGAGTTTCCAGATTACCTCTTTAGGCCACTCAACTGTCACAGTGCAAAGACTAACCTAACAAGTTTTGAACTCATGCTACTTATGCATATATTCATATCTGCTGACAATGTAGTATTTCACGTGAGAGTAAAGTTCCATCAAAGCCATAGCCACATGGTTTGAATGAATGCATGTGCTTTTCGGTAACATATGACTTCTATGCTTGCATGATATAACTACAGCCCTCTGTCAAGGTATTTTTCTTTATCAAACAAGCATGTTAGATTTCTGTGGAATCAGATCTTGATGAGTTTTATTTTTCAATGATATGTATTATCCATAAAAGATTATATAATTTATATCAGATTTTGAAATTATGTCATATTTTTAAGTGAAGTGTTTTCATTTAAAATTTTATTTTTACCACAGAAAAGTCAGTATCAATATGAATCCTAAAATTAAAACTGAAAAACTAGAGGAATTCAAGATTCAGTAGAAATGTGGAAACATAATAGTGTGACATAATGTATAATTTAGATGAAAAAATTGCATGACAATATAACCTTGACAACTGAGACATGTCTACATGTTTAATCAACAAATTTTTGTTTAACTTAGGGAAAAAAAAGTCTCTGCTTCTGGAAAGTCATAAAGTAGAAATTGAATCAGAGAAAAACATGGATATAGAGAGATCTCTATAAAAAGCCACCAATAGATATGTTTTTGTGTGTATATATCTGTGAACATGCACATATATACACATGTGCATGTATTTATGGCTGTGTTTCTGTGTTTTGATATACACACATATATAACTATATCTAAACAACTATACAAGTTTACAGTTCTAGAACTCACATGTATAGATTTGGAAGTGGTGTGTGTGTGTATACACATACATATATAAAACACACAAGTAGATAGATAAATGTAGAGTTGTATAGTTGTTTGCATGTATATATGTGTATGAGAGTGTGTGTGTGTGTGTGTTGTTGATTTTAACTTTGAATTAGTTGCCAAGATTTGAAATTAAGGCATTTCACATAAAAATGAGTTTACATGTAAACTGAGCTCATATTTTTGCATGGCAGCAATCCTTTGAACTGAACAGTGGTCCTCTTTTAGATGGAGCTTACATTCTCCATTTTGCTGCAGTTCCCAACAGTCTTAATTTTACTTTTCAAATTGAGTCATTTATCATCATATACTCAGATCAGTTTGTGAGCTCTTCTTTGGCAATAAGAAACAATCGTTACCATCACCTCCATTGACATTGTTACTTCAACAAAGAATAATTAATAAATTGATCAGAGAATACTGAGATTCTACCCCTTTACACACACACCCCTAGAACACTTATTTAGCTGTTTTCATATAAGACAAATTAAATTAAATATGGTAAAACTACCTGAATGAATTGGAGATCAAAAAGATAGAAAGATGATGACAGTGATTATAACAATAAAAGAAGCTCATTTAATTATTTTATTTTCTAAGTATTAATTTATTTTAATTCTCATGGTAAGAATGTATAGCAAGTACTATGATTATCCCCATTTTACTAATGATGAAACTATGACAAAAAAAGTCAAGTAACCTTCCTACAATATGCAGCTAATAAGTAGCAGAGCCATGATCTAAATTTAGCAATCTCATTTCATCTCTACTTTTAATTATTCATTACAGCTACCTAAGCAAGATTTTATACTTTCAATTTATTAGAATCATATCTTTTAAACTTCAATAAATCATACTTTTTCAGGGTACAACCAATCAAATACATAAGAAAAGACGTTCTAGTTCTTATCTCCTTTCTGAAGATATGTTGAATGATCCCAATCTCAGACAAAGAGCAATGAGTAGAGCAAGCATATTGACAAACACTGTAGAAGGTATGTAATAATATTATCTTTACCATGCAGATTTTTAAATAAAATTCTGGTAAATCCTGATCAATACCTGAAGTTCTTAGGAAGAACTCAAAGAATATAAAATAATTATAAACAATGGTAAAGATAACCGTTGAATATTAATGGAATCATCTTTATGTACTTAAAAAATGGATAAAGTTGTTTGTGATTAAAAACAGGCATTGGATGATATGACCTTTCAAAGATAAATAGCTTAATGGTAGTTAATGAAGAAGCTATGTTAACCCTGGGCTGTGTGGTTCTCTCACTTCGTAATCTTAGAAATTTTACCTAGTCTCTCTGAATTTATCATCTCTATAATATGTAAGAAAATAATACATACTTTCAGATGTCTATAAGTTGCTGCCTCTCCGCACATTCCATAAACCATAAAATGGTAAAATGTAGCATGATATCTGTTAAGATTATGATCACAGTTCAGAGAACATAATGTGAGCAATAGTGGTTAGACCCTCAGATACATTGAGAGAGGAGTCAAAAGGTGGCAATTTGTAAAACGTGGTGGCTCCCTCCCACTCCTCCTACAGTATGCTCCACTTCCCACCTTGTCCAAAGGCTACTTCAGTCCCCTCTTAACACACACAACTGTGACGGATCCAGACACAGTTTCTGTCTACCTCCTACATTTCTCCTTTAAGAAAACATAGCTTCTCCTGTTTACCATCACATATTAGGTATATGTTTCTGAGAGATGCCCATATCTACTTTTAGTCATTAATTTAACTGCTTTCCCTTAACTTATGCTTGATCTAGTAAATGAACACGTGCTATAAGATTTTTATGTAATAATGCTATCATTGCATGGAAACAGTACTGTTAAGTTTTCAAGTCTAAACCAGAAGGCTTGTTTCAGTGTTAACGAATACTGCTGATTCATACAAATGATTGACTTCATGTTCTCTCTTTTTTTCTCCCAGAACTTGAAGAGTCCAGACAAAAATGTCCACCTTGGTGGTACAGATTTGCACATACATTCCTGATCTGGAATTGCTCCCCATATTGGATAAAATTTAAAAAGCTTATTGATTTTATTGTGATGGATCCTTTTGTAGATCTTGCTATTACCATTTGCATAGTTTTAAACACATTATTTATGGCTATGGAGCATCACCCAATGACTGAAGAATTCAAGAGCGTGCTCGTCGTGGGAAATTTGGTGAGCTTTTCAATATGTGTTCTCTCTTTAGTTGTCATGATTACTGTTTTTTCTTTCTTTTTTTTTTTTTTTTAAAGTCAGAAGGATATGCAGTTAGGTAATTATGCATATCCAGAATTCACAATATGAATTATTGTACAGAGTCAAGTTTCTGGTAATAGATACTATTCTAAAATAATTTTGCAGTAATATTGAGGTCTATACATTGCAGTAATATTTCCATAAAGGGTCACCATCTTGGGAGTTGATAGTGTTTTTTTTTTTCTGTCAGCACATTTTTTGGGATCAATATTTTGATAATTTGATATTTTCTTATCCATTTTATAATTACATTGCAGCTTCCTTGAGAGTACATAGCCCACATATATTCAGAAAAAACTATAGATGCCTTTTTTTACCGTAATAGGTGAAGTGTCTGGGACTTTATGGAGTCCCAAAATACTGGATTGAATACTGATTCTGCATCTTACTGGTTATATGACCTTGGACAAATATATTGAACTCTATAATCTTTAATTTTCTCACTTATAGAATAATAATGATTTACAAAATAAGAATAATAATTCTTTATATGTAATGATAATAATACTTGATTTATCATATTGCTGGGAGGATTAAACACTTTCTACTTAATTTATTAGCCTGGCATATAGTAAGTATGCAACAAATTAAACCTACTGATACTATCATCATCATCATCATCATGCTTTTAAACAGTCAGCAGAAACAAGCCTTAAGAACAAGAATATTGAGGGGGAAAAATACTTGAACTGGACACAGGAGGCACAAGCTTGGACAAGCAAAAAGTGATCTGTAGGCTTCAAGAGGATATAGGATCCAATTAGGAAAATTGATGCCAGAGTGATCTCTTACATGTGCAGTAATGGTCATATTCTAGCTTAATTAGTGCCTTATGGTAAACAAATGAACAAAGTGGTAGTTTCTAACAGTCTGCATGAATTTCATGAATCTGCATGAATCTGCAGGCTTATGACTCTAAATAAATCATGAATCATTCTGGATGCCTTTGTGAATATCTGGGTCAGATAATTTTACTTTTGCTGTGGTCCTAAATCAATTGATCTTTGAAGCCAAAGACTTTGTTTCTGGGTTGGTCTTGTCTCCAAAATTGTTTATGAATATTCCTAGTCAGAATATTTGTACTCTATATTCTCTGAGAATTAGCATTCTTCTTCTCTTCTACTTCTCTTTGGAAAAAAGACAAGATTATCTAGTTGGTGGAGATCCGGATCATGAAAATCAGTGTCTTCTCACTGAGTTAACTGCACCATGATGAACCCAAAAAGAATTCACCGTGTTTCTTATCTGTTACCACAGTCCCAAGTCTGAGTGCCTCTGATGGTCTTCTTGATGCTATGTTATTTTAAGATTGACTCATGTAGTTAATAGGCCTAACCATTTCCCCTTGAAATTTCTTTGGGCATTTTTTTTTTTAGTCAAATTGTACTTAAATGATTTATAAACAAGTATTTCACTGTTATCTTTTTAAGTGAGTCCTTTGATGCTAGTGCCATGAATTAATTATGTTTTGTGCTGTACTTTTGTGTCAAAGCTTTGGAAGCTTTGCTTTAGCTGCCACTGTGCCAATGAAATACTTTTTTCCTCTTCTATTGATAAATCTTTAAAGAGTGAGTCAATATGTTCTTTTATAACTTTAAGAGTAGTCAGATCCGAAAAAAGACTAGTTCAAAATCTCAATATCCATGTTTCCTTTTTATTTTCTTCTGGAATTACTTGTTGATCATATAAATTTTTTTGCAAAGAGTGACTATGTTAATTGTTGAAAGTTTTTTTTTAATATTGAATTTTAATATGCTGTCTAATGATAATGAGAGCTGATAGGAGAGTTAGAATTTTAAATCTTCAGCGCTTGTATTGGAGCTGTAGGGCA